TCTGCAGAGGATCAGGTCTCAGGTCTGAGCTCTGCAGAGGATCAGGTCTCAGGTCTGAGCTCTGTAGAGGATCAGGTCTGAGCTCTGCAGAGATCAGGTCTCAGGTCTGAGCTCTGTAGAGGATCAGGTCTCAGGTCTGAGCTCTGCAGAGGATCAGGTCTCAGGTCTGAGCTCTGTAGAGGATCAGGTCTCAGGTCTGAGCTCTGCAGAGGATCAGGTCTGAGCTCTGCAGAGGATCAGGTCTCAGGTCTGAGCTCTGTAGAGGATCAGGTCTCAGGTCTGAGCTCTGCAGAGGATCAGGTCTCAGGTCTGAGCTCTGTAGAGGATCAGGTCTCAGGTCTGAGCTCTGTAGAGGATCAGGTCTGAGCTCTGCAGAGGATCAGGTCTGAGCTCTGTAGAGGATCAGGTCTCAGGTCTGAGCTTTGCAGAGGATCAGGTCTGAGCTCTGCAGAGGATCAGGTCTCAGGTCTGAGCTCTGTAGAGGATCAGGTCTCAGGTCTGAGCTCTGCAGAGGATCAGGTCTCAGGTCTGAGCTCTGCAGAGGATCAGGTCTCAGGTCTGAGCTCTGTAGAGGATCAGGTCTGAGCTCTGCAGTCCTAATACACAAATATTCATATCTGATGTATTTTAGAAAGTGTCCAATAAAAAACTCAAATTGAATCAACTTTATTTACAAAGCAGTTTACACACAGACAATCCAACGTGCTTAACAACATAAGTTAACCCTTTAATGTCTGTTTGACCACCATCACATGTACAGAGAGAACGTGAGCCAGTCTTAGACTTTAGCTGGATCGAGAACCAGACTGAGCCTCCTGTTGCACTTTGGATGGTGGAGCAGAATCAATCAGTCAGTATTTGGATAACCTCCTCTGTTTGATGGGATTCACATGACCGCTCTGTCCACACTGTCCTGGAGGTCTGGCTCCTCCCCCTCTGTCATCAGTGCTGTCCCTGTGAGTGAACTAGAGACCAGACTGCTCCTCCTCCTGACATCACTTGATTTAAATATTCAGGTATCCTCATTTTAACTAGCTCAGGTCAGATATTACCTTTCACTTTCCAAACAGCAGCATTTTAACCCAGACACCTCAAAAATACTCCAAACTGTTTGTATCTTAGTAGACTTTCATCGTGGCGGCGGTGTAACAGGAAGGAATCTCCTCTAGCCCTCATGGATCACTGTGGACATTTTAGTCCATTTGGTCAAATGTCTCCTCTTCATCTGTCCATCATTTTGTCTGTTAGTGCATATGGAAGACATGTTTTATAAGAAAGTCTCTCTTGACACATTTTGGAATGAACATTTTAGTTTTTCTAATAGATCAATAGATCACTGAAACATGTTTACAACCCTCTGAAGTCTCTAAGGACAAACATGTCCACTTACAAAATACTGATATAAAAATAGAACAGATTAATATTTTTTTCTACTTTGTTTTGCATAAATCTCCAGAATCATGTAATCAAACTGACATTTAAAGGGTTAAATTCCTAAAAATGATTGAATATTTGGTAGTTTTGAGCAGCGCTGAAGTTGATTAAGAGATTTATGTAGAAAAAAGTAGAACAAATATCAATCTGTTCTATTTTTATATCAGTTTTTTGGAAGTGGACATTTGTGTCCTTAGTGACTTCAGAGGGTTTTAAATGAAACTGATGCCAGAGGGTTAAATATCTGTAAACATCAGTGAAGTAAAGTTCTGCTGTTTGTCCGGAGTGACTCTGGACCAATAGCAGCAGATGATGTGACACTCCAGCTTCACTCTGGGAACCTGACCTGAACCCAACGGAGACTCTCTATGAGAGGCACCAGACCCAATGACACAGACCAGCTGAAGGCCACTAACAAAGCACCCAGGGCTCCAGAACACCTCCACGCCTCATTGATGCAGTCATTCATTCAGCACGGACCGAGGACTGAGTGCATCAATGAAGAAACTTCTCAGATGAGTCTGATCGGTCTGATGAAATATTAGAATATTTTGAGATCCTGGATGTTTGATTATCAGGATCTGTGAGCCGTAATCATCAAGATTAAAACTACAAAAACTCTTCAAATATTTCACTTTATGTCTAATAAATCAGAATATGAGAGCTCAGCAGCACATTTATATTTAATAAATCATAAATATGAGAGCTCAGCTGCACATTTATATTTAATAAATCATAAATATGAGAGCTCAGCTGCACATTTATATTTAATAAATCATAAATATGAGAGCTCAGCAGCACATTTATATTTAATAAATCAGAATATGAGAGCTCAGCAGCACATTTATATTTAATAAATCATAAATATGAGAGCTCAGCTGCACATTTATATTTAATAAATCATAAATATGAGAGCTCAGCAGCACATTTGTATTTAATAAATCAGAATATGAGAGCTCAGCAGCACATTTATATTTAATAAATCATAAATATGAGAGCTCAGCAGCACATTTATATTTAATAAATCAGAATATGAGAGCTCAGCAGCACATTTATATTTAATAAATCAGAATATGAGAGCTCAGCAGCACATTTATATTTAATAAATCATAAATATGAGAGCTCAGCAGCACATTTATATTTAATAAATCATAAATATGAGAGCTCAGCTGCACATTTGTATTTAATAAATCAGAATATGAGAGCTCAGCTGCACATTTATATTTAATAAATCAGAATATGAGAGCTCAGCAGCACATTTATATTTAATAAATCAGAATATGAGAGCTCAGCAGCACATTTATATTTAATAAATCATAAATATGAGAGCTCAGCAGCACATTTATATTTAATAAATCATAAATATGAGAGCTCAGCTGCACATTTGTATTTAATAAATCAGAATATGAGAGCTCAGCTGCACATTTATATTTAATAAATCATAAATATGAGAGCTCAGCAGCACATTTGTATTTAATAAATCAGAATATGAGAGCTCAGCAGCACATTTATATTTAATAAATCAGAAATATGAGAGCTCAGCAGCACATTTATATTTAATAAATCAGAATATGAGAGCTCAGCAGCACATTTATATTTAATAAATCAGAATATGAGAGCTCAGCAGCACATTTATATTTAATAAATCAGAATATGAGAGCTCAGCAGCACATTTGTATTTAATAAATCAGAATATGAGAGCTCAGCTGCACATTTATATTTAATAAATCATAAATATGAGAGCTCAGCTGCACATTTATATTTAATAAATCATAAATATGAGAGCTCAGCAGCACATTTATATTTAATAAATCAGAATATGAGAGCTCAGCTGCACATTTATATTTAATAAATCATAAATATGAGAGCTCAGCTGCACATTTATATTTAATAAATCAGAATATGAGAGCTCAGCTGCACATTTATATTTAATAAATCATAAATATGAGAGCTCAGCTGCACATTTATATGTCTGTCGTAGTAAAGAATCTGTAGTTATACTATAAATCCACAGGGGGGCGCTAATGCACCTCTATGGATGCCAACGAAGAAGAAGGCTGACGCAGAACCATAGCGCAGAACAGGAAGTTGTGTTTCCACCCGGACTCTCTCGTGTGATGCACCACGTGCTCGGTGTTTTGTTTCATGTTTGTGTGATCTGTGTGCGGCGGAGGATCAAAGAGAACATCATTAACTACAGACACCTTCTGCGGCTGCGCGGCTTTCTGACTCGGTAAATCAAACATCTGTTTTTATTCTTATTGAGTTTGTATCATCTGGTTATCTCTATAAACTCATCATCCGGGTCTCTGTGCTGCTGCTCTGCAGGCGGTCACTTCATGTTAGGAGCCACAGAGAAAAGAATAACAAAATGTGAAACAATAACATTTTAAAATATGTCTGTTTAGATCTCTAATGTTTGCATATCAACGTTTCAGATCTGTTTTCATCTTTATTATACAAATATTTTTATCTTAGAGGAGTTTCAGTTTGTCTGTTCAACTCTGCAGAGTTGGAAGGTTTAATAAGCCCCTCCCACTTTGCACTCAGTGTAGTGGACCAAACAGTGTAGAGGATCAAACAGTGTAGTGGATCAAACAGTGTAGTGGATCAAACAGTGTAGTGGATCAAACAGTGTAGTGGATCAAACAGTGTAGTGGATCAAACAGTGGATCAAACAGTGGATCAAACAGTGTAGAGGATCAAACAGTGTAGAGGATCAAACAGTGGATCAAACAGTGGATCAAACAGTGTAGAGGACCAAACAGTGGATCAAACAGTGGATCAAACAGTGTAGAGGATCAAACAGTGTAGAGGATCAAACAGTGGATCAAACAGTGTAGTGGATCAAACAGTGTAGAGGATCAAACAGTGTAGTGGATCAAACAGTGGATCAAACAGTGTAGAGGATCAAACAGTGTAGTGGATCAAACAGTGTAGAGGACCAAACAGTGTAGTGGATCAAACAGTGGATCAAACAGTGTAGTGGATCAAACAGTGTAGAGGACCAAACAGTGTAGAGGACCAAACAGTGGACCAAACAGTGGATCAAACAGTGTAGAGGATCAAACAGTGTAGAGGATCAAACAGTGGATCAAACAGTGTAGTGGATCAAACAGTGTAGAGGATCAAACAGTGTAGTGGATCAAACAGTGGATCAAACAGTGTAGTGGACCAAACAGTGTAGTGGATCAAACAGTGTAGAGGATCAAACAGTGTAGTGGATCAAACAGTGGATCAAACAGTGGATCAAACAGTGTAGTGGACCAAACAGTGTAGTGGATCAAACAGTGGACCAAACAGTGTAGTGGATCAAACAGTGTAGAGGATCAAACAGTGTAGTGGATCAAACAGTGGATCAAACAGTGGATCAAACAGTGTAGTGGATCAAACAGTGTAGAGGACCAAACAGTGTAGTGGATCAAACAGTGGATCAAACAGTGTAGTGGATCAAACAGTGTAGAGGACCAAACAGTGTAGTGGATCAAACAGTGGATCAAACAGTGGACCAAACAGTGTAGTGGATCAAACAGTGTAGTGGATCAAACAGTGTAGAGGATCAAACAGTGTAGTGGACCAAACAGTGTAGTGGATCAAACAGTGTAGAGGACCAAACAGTGTAGTGGATCAAACAGTGTAGAGGACCAAACAGTGTAGAGGACCAAACAGTGTAGTGGATCAAACAGTGTAGTGGACCAAACAGTGTAGTGGATCAAACAGTGTAGTGGATCAAACAGTGGATCAAACAGTGTAGTGGATCAAACAGTGTAGTGGACCAAACAGTGTAGTGGACCAAACAGTGTAGTGGATCAAACAGTGGATCAAACAGTGTAGTGGATCAAACAGTGTAGTGGACCAAACAGTGTAGTGGATCAAACAGTGGATCAAACAGTGTAGTGGACCAAACAGTGTAGTGGATCAAACAGTGTAGTGGATCAAACAGTGTAGTGGATCAAACAGTGTAGTGGATCAAACAGTGTAGTGGACCAAACAGTGGATCAAACAGTGTAGTGGATCAAACAGTGTAGTGGATCAAACAGTGTAGTGGACCAAACAGTGTAGTGGACCAAACAGTGTAGTGGATCAAACAGTGTAGTGGATCAAACAGTGGATCAAACAGTGTAGTGGATCAAACAGTGTAGTGGATCAAACAGTGGATCAAACAGTGTAGTGGATCAAACAGTGTAGTGGATCAAACAGTGGATCAAACAGTGTAGTGGATCAAACAGTGTAGTGGACCAAACAGTGTAGTGGATCAAACAGTGGATCAAACAGTGTAGTGGATCAAACAGTGTAGTGGACCAAACAGTGTAGTGGACCAAACAGTGTAGTGGAGCAAACAGTGTAGTGGACCAAACAGTGTAGTGGATCAAACAGTGTAGTGGATCAAACAGTGGACCAAACAGTGTAGTGGATCAAACAGTGTAGTGGATCAAACAGTGTAGTGGATCAAACAGTGTAGTGGATCAAACAGTGTAGAGGATCAAACAGTGTAGTGGATCAAACAGTGTAGTGGATCAAACAGTGTAGTGGACCAAACAGTGTAGTGGATCAAACAGTGTAGTGGATCAAACAGTGTAGAGGACCAAACAGTGTAGAGGACCAAACAGTGTAGTGGATCAAACAGTGTAGTGGATCAAACAGTGTAGAGGACCAAACAGTGTAGTGGATCAAACAGTGGACCAAACAGTGTAGTGGACCAAACAGTGGATCAAACAGTGTAGTGGATCAAACAGTGTAGTGGATCAAACAGTGGATCAAACAGTGTAGTGGATCAAACAGTGTAGAGGACCAAACAGTGTAGTGGATCAAACAGTGTAGAGGACCAAACAGTGTAGTGGATCAAACAGTGTAGAGGACCAAACAGTGTAGTGGATCAAACAGTGTAGTGGATCAAACAGTGTAGAGGACCAAACAGTGTAGTGGATCAAACAGTGGATCAAACAGTGTAGTGGATCAACAGTGGATCAAACAGTGTAGTGGACCAAACAGTGTAGTGGACCAAACAGTGTAGCGGATCAAACAGTGGACCAAACAGTGTAGTGGACCAAACAGTGTAGATCAAACAGTGTGGTGGATCAAACAGTGGATCAAACAGTGTAGTGGACCAAACAGTGTAGTGGATCAAACAGTGTAGTGGACCAAACAGTGTAGCGGATCAAACAGTGGACCAAACAGTGTAGTGGACCAAACAGTGTAGTGGATCAAACAGTGTAGTGGACCAAACAGTGTAGTGGACCAAACAGTGTAGTGGACCAAACAGTGTAGCGGATCAAACAGTGGACCAAACAGTGTAGTGGACCAAACAGTGTAGTGGATCAAACAGTGTAGTGGACCAAACAGTGTAGTGGACCAAACAGTGTAGTGGATCAAACAGTGTAGTGGACCAAACAGTGTAGTGGACCAAACAGTGTAGCGGATCAAACAGTGGACCAAACAGTGTAGTGGACCAAACAGTGTAGTGGACCAAACAGTGTAGTGGATCAAACAGTGTAGTGGATCAAACAGTGTAGTGGACCAAACAGTGTAGTGGACCAAACAGTGGACCAAACAGTGTAGAGGACCAAACAGTGTAGTGGACCAAACAGTGGATCAAACAGTGTAGCGGACCAAACAGTGTAGTGGACCAAACAGTGTAGTGGACCAAACAGTGTAGCGGATCAAACAGTGGACCAAACAGTGTAGTGGACCAAACAGTGTAGTGGACCAAACAGTGTAGCGGATCAAACAGTGGACCAAACAGTGTAGTGGACCAAACAGTGTAGATCAAACAGTGTAGTGGATCAAACAGTGGATCAAACAGTGTAGCGGACCAAACAGTGTAGTGGACCAAACAGTGTAGTGGACCAAACAGTGTAGCGGATCAAACAGTGGACCAAACAGTGTAGAGGACCAAACAGTGTAGTGGACCAAACAGTGTAGTGGACCAAACAGTGGACCAAACAGTGTAGTGGACCAAACAGTGTAGCGGATCAAACAGTGGACCAAACAGTGTAGCGGACCAAACAGTGTAGTGGACCAAACAGTGTAGTGGACCAAACAGTGTAGAGGACCAAACAGTGTAGTGGACCAAACAGTGTAGTGGATCAAACAGTGGACTAAACAGTGTAGTGGACCAAACAGTGTAGTGGACCAAACAGTGGACCAAACAGTGTAGCGGACCAAACAGTGTAGTGGACCAAACAGTGGACCAAACAGTGTAGCGGACCAAACAGTGTAGTGGATCAAACAGTGTAGTGGATCAAACAGTGTAGTGGACCAAACAGTGTAGTGGATCAAACAGTGTAGTGGACCAAACAGTGTAGAGGACCAAACAGTGTAGTGGACCAAACAGTGGACCAAACAGTGTAGTGGATCAAACAGTGTAGTGGATCAAACAGTGTAGTGGACCAAACAGTGGACCAAACAGTGTAGAGGACCAAACAGTGTAGTGGATCAAACAGTGTAGTGGATCAAACAGTGTAGTGGATCAAACAGTGGACCAAACAGTGTAGTGGACCAAACAGTGTAGTGAAAAGTCTCGAGAAATCATTGAGGGCAAGCCCTCATTTAAAATGACGTCGAGAGTACAATTAAAACGAATAAGAGACAAAAAGACAAAAAACATGGATTATAAAACGTAAGCAGGTAACTACAGTTAATAACATTTACACTCATGAGTACAGTGAGCTGTGATCAAGTTTTTAAATTGACCCATGGTAACCATTGTATTGAGTTTGAATGTGTTTTGTATTGTGTTCCAGGTGTGTGCAGCACAAAAGGTGAAGGATGTTTTCCCAAAGTTTGTTTTTACATGTGGAACCGTTAACATTAGCCAGTCACTTGATCGAGTTTGAGACTGATTATCAGCCCAGATTAATAAAGAAGTGATGTATGCTGGTAGATTACCCACAAGTGATTTATAAATAAATAGCAGCCAATGCCGTTCACGTCTAACTGTTAGTGAAGGCCAACCAACTTTATGGTACAGGATGCAATGATGAGTGGAAGATTTGTCACCAGTGATAAATCTGAGGGCGGAGTGATAAACTGTGTCTAATGATTTTAGGGTGGAGGCAGAATTATGTCTATAAATGACATCCCCGTAGTCCAGAACAGATAGGAAGATGGCTTCAATTATTCGCTTTCTACTCACTAAGGGAAGTTCACTTTGTTTCTGTACAAGTATCCAATTCTCTGTCGTAGTTTAGTGCTTAATGTATCAATGTGAAATTTAAATGAAGGGATTGATCCAACCAGATGCAAGATATTTATAATGAGGTACTCTTTCAATATTGTGACCTTCCAGAGTTGTTATATGCAAGTCATTGTCTGTGGTATTTCTGGCTCATGTAAAGAGCATGTATTTAGTTTTGTCTGCATTCAGTAATCATTTTAAATCAAGGAGTGCATTTAGTAATTTGTGAAGTGCTTCTTGTAAAGTTTCCATTGCTAAGTGTACAGTCTCAGCAAAACAATACAAAACTGTGTCGTCAGCGTAGAGCTGGGCCTTACAATTTGTAAATACAGAAGCAATATTATTAATATAGATTGTGAACAGCACAGGACCCAATACAGAACCTTGTGGAACCCCTTTTGATAGTGGTAAGTATTCAGAGCGATCAGATTGTACAGTCACACATTGCAATCTATTAGACAGATAATTCTGGAACCATTTAAATGAGGAGCTGTCAAAACCAACATCATGTAGCCTCTGCAGGAGTATGGTGTGATCAACAGTGTCAAACGCTTTAGTTAAATCAACAAAGAGGGCAGCACAGTATTTCCCTTGATCAACAGCAGATACAATATTATTTATGACAAAGGTAATTGCTGATGTGGTGCTGTGTTTTTTTCTGAACCCAGACTGGTGAGGACTTTATACAGAATTTCTTGAAAGGAATGATTTTAGTTGATTGTTGACTAATGTCTCCAGGATTTTAGAGAGGCTGGACAGTTTGGAGATCGGCCGGTACTTGTTGAATTTGTTTTTGTCGTCGTCCTTATGCAGAGGGACGATGTGTGCTGACTTCCTAACCTGAGGGACAACTCCAGTGGTGATTGAAAGATTACAAATATAGGAAATTTGTTCCTTGATTAGAGGGGCACAGAGTTTTAAAAAGTACGGCTCTAGATTATCTTCTCCCCTTGCTTTCCTAATATCTATAGAGTGCAGAGCCTCCATTACAGCAGAAGAAGTGAAGCCTGTATAGTAAATTTCGGGGAATGGTTGTGGAATATGAATATGAGCCAGCGGCCGGATATTAACAGTGTTTCCAGAGTACAATGTTTCAAACTGACTCCCAGAAGCAGCAAAATGGAGGTTAAAGGCACGGCAAATATCTGAAGTTTTATTTGTTTGGCCTTCATTTAAAATAACATAAGAAGGGAGAGATGGGGAGGATTTATATTTGTTTATATTCACTGCTTTCCAGAATTTTGATGGGTTTGAAGAGCAACTAGAAATCAACTCCTGGTGATAAGAGGTTTTAGCTTTTCTCAGTGAATATGTGCATTTATTTTTGAGTTGTCTGAATAAAAGCCAATGGGCTGCTGTGCCTGTCTTTCTTGCCAAAGCCCAGGCTTTGTCCCTTTCCTTTAAGAGTAATGATAATTCAGTGGAGAACCATGGGCTTGATCTATCTTTAACCTTAACTTCTTAAAAGGTGCATGCTTGTCAATCATTTTAAGAAATGTATTTGTAAACTATTCAAGTGCATGATCCACATCAGGTATTTCAGATGTTTGACATATATTACTGTTCACAATGTCATTAAAAAACACCTGTTCATTAAAATTTCTGAAATTTCTCTTGAGTACAATCCTGGGCTTAGATTTTGCTAGTCTAGCACTCTTTGTATGCCAGAGGACAACGGTCACTGATGTCGAGGGAGAAGACCCCAAAGGCTGTAATTTTGTCCCTTCTATTGGTAAAACTTAGATCAATCAATGTTGATTTTGAGTGATCTTTCAAATTAGGTCTAGTTGGCTTAGTTATGATCTGTGATAGGTTTAGATTGTCACACATCTCCTTTAAGCTCAATGAATCATTTGACAACCAATTTAAATTAAAATCACCCAAAACATGGATTTCTGAAGTACTGAACTGAGAATCGCCTGCTGATATTGAAACGTTCTGTGTTTGTCATCAGGCATGTCTCAGGACAGTCAACACGGCAGGTGGACCGTCTCCAGCAGCGATGAGGACGACGAAGGTCTTCCTCCTTCTGGGACTTCAACGTCTAAGCCCGCCCCCCTGTTGATCCCAGTAACAGATCCATCGGTCCCCCAGTCCGCCCAGCCTCAAAGTGAAACCAGAGCCAGACTATGCCCCTGTAAGCTCGCTTGTGATTGGCTCTGAGGCCAGACAGTCAGCAGCGGTGAACAATCCGTCATTGGCTGGGAAGAGAAAGAAGGAGGAGTCAGAGGGATCAGGCTGGGCCCTCTCTGACAGTGATGATGAAGACGTCGATTTGAGGAGGAAGAGTGTCGGTAACCCGCCGAAGAGAGCGCCCCCTAGCCCCAAAACCAAAAAAACAAAGGTGGAGAACGAGCGCCCGCCAAGTCCTCACGGCCGGGTTTACTACATCGACGAACCAGACGACTTCTTTGAAACCAGTCTTCCCAGTGCGAGCGACCCCTACAGGTTTTACCTGAACAAAGTGACTGGCCTGGACAGACGGTTCAACACGGGAGCGCTTCACATTAGAGGTGAGGAGAGGTTAAAGAAGACTCAGGTGCAGTTCCACAAGTGACCACTAGAGGCTGGCTGCACAAAGGAATCCCCATTAGACCCGCAACAGAAATAAACGTGTTCACATCCTGGTACTTAAAAGGGTTTTAGTCTGGTTAGTTTGTGTTTTAATATTTCTGATCTGAAGGCTGAAATGATGATTTATAAATGTTTGCATACTTAGGGGCGGGGCTAAAGACTGCTTTTGTTTGCTGTAGCTCGGCCGTTATCATGTGTTTGTACGTTCATGTTAATTCAGTGATGGCGTTCTATTGGCGTCCCAGTCTGTCAGGTCACTTTGCATTTCTGCGTTGAAGAAGCACGCCACAGGAGGAGCTACACACACACACACACACACACACACACACACACACACACACACACACACACACACACACACACACACACACACACACACACACACACACACACACACACACACACACACACACACACACACACACACACACACACACACACACAACACACACACACACAGTGCTGCTCTCCCCTGCTGGCTCAGCTGATCCCGTCTCTCCTCTGTAACGCCTCGGTTGTCACCTCTTTTCTCCATTACGCCTCCACGATATTCAGACTGAAGGCGAGACGTCACAGAGGCGTAAAAATCTAAAAGTGAGTCTCTCTGCTACTCATCCCAACGTTATGCCCCGCCCCCTATCTTCTGATTGGTTCTGTCCCATCTGAACACGGCAGTGAGATACTCTGGACGTTCTGTTTCACAGGGACTTTAAAAAAGAAATCACCAAAATATTCTGAGCCCAGGACTTCAGGTTTCCTTCCTGTGGTATCAATATCCACATAATGAGAAGTTTCATATCTGAGTGTGGTGTGAACCTCGTTCACCTCTTACCCTCAGTCTTTATACTGAACTCTAATCTTCACTCTTTCCTTCTTCATCCAGACATCCTCTCTCCTCTGTTCGGGACCCTGAAAGAGTCGGTTCAGGTCAGTATGGACGCAAACTTGAAACGGTTTCATATCCTGTTTTTTATTTACACATGCAGCACGGCTGATCAGCACAAATCTTCATATTTATTTATTCATTCAAATTCTTTTTTTTTTTCTTCATATTTTTATTAAAGTAAGTTGAAGACATACAGTGCCTTTGGGATGCAGTCAACATTTTTCTTTTTCTCCCCAGAAATATTCAAAAACCCAGTATCACGTCTCCCTCCCAGTCCAACAAATAGACCTCTCAGTTTAAAGACAAGAGTGGAAAACTCACAAAAAATAAATTACAATAGCTAAATAAAAATAAATAGAAAATCATGAAAATATAAAATACATTTGAGAAGAGTAGTATCAAAACATAATAATAAAAAATAATACAAAATGACGAGATAAACATAAATGAATGAACAGACAACATTAAGAGGAATGAACATTATTATTTTTTTTTTTAAGATTTATTTTGGGCTTTTTTTCGTGCCTTTAATGCAGAGATAGGACAGTGGATAGAGTCTGAAACCAGGGAGAGAGAGGACAGTGGATAGAGTCTGAAACCAGGGAGAGAGGACAGTGGATAGAGTCAGAAACCGAGGAGAGAGATAGGACAGTGGATAGAGTCTGAAACCAGAGAGAGAGAGAGACAGTGGATAGAGTCAGAAACCAGAGCGGAGAGGACAGTGGATAGAGTCTGAAACCAGGAGAGAGAGAGGACAGTGGATAGAGTCTGAAACCAGAGGAGAGAGGACAGTGGATAGAGTCAGAAACCAGAGCGAGAGAGGACAGTGGATAGAGTCTGAAACCAGAGAGAGAGGACAGTGGATAGAGTCAGAAACCAGAGAGAGAGAGGACAGAGGATAGAGTCTGAAACCAGAGAGAGAGAGAGGACAGTGGATAGAGTCAGAAACCAGAGGAGAGAGGGACAGTGGATAGAGTCTGAAACCAGGGAGAGAGAGCGGGGAATGTGGAAAGGGGCACGGTGGAAGCGAACCGGGCCTACCGCCCGAGACGAGAGTCTCAAATACATGGGACGCGCGCCTACCACTGCGCCACAAGAGCGCCCCAGGAATTAACATCATTTATTCAATTCTTAAAAACACACTGAAGGAGAACTCTCATTGATAAAGGT